ATTAACGTCTCCATCGTAACAGTTTTTATTTTCGGTTGAGACAATGACGAAACGTTTGTGAAAGAATGCATGCTCAAGCTGTTACTTACTGTGCTTCAGCGTTGATTCCAGAACTATGTAATTCATATATGTTCCCGCCATTTCACATCAAAGGTTCATAATCTTGATGCATATTCAGCGTGAGGGCCAAATATCTGAATTTTTCAATTCCGGCATCCAGAAGCAACAGACATGTTTGGATGCGCCAAGTGGACTTCCAGAACGTCTTGTTCGCTCTATTCATGGGTCACGATAGCCTTCTGGTCGCCAAGTGTTGGAATTTCGTGGTCACTTTCATGGTGCACAAATCCTAGGTTTTCGTAATTGAGAAGTCGTAGTCCAGCGAAGGTCCATTCTTCTATTTGTTATGGTTGTTATCGTGAATGCGGTAAAACTGGCTACCGCCCATAGAGGGTGGTTTTAGCCAAGGTCTATCCTCGAAATGACTGACTGCCACTGAAGACCAAGCCAACTTTTAGAAGTGGATCGCTTTTCTGCAACAAGAAAAAACAGACAAGGCAGCAGGCAGAGAAGAAGCAAGAATTCCAACAGGGAAAGTGATTTCTATATTCATGTTTCTCCCTTCTTTCCTTTGCCATGGCATTCATTATATTTGCTTTTTCTATTGAATACCTAAGAACACAACTTTCATGTCGCGCAGTAAAGGGGTTCCACTTCCGATTACTATGTTGGGTAGGGCAGAACGTGCCGTTGGCTTGAGGTCATAACTTACGGAAGTTTCCCCAACACTCAGTATGAAAGGCTGGTGTATATGCGGTGGATGTCTCACTCAACATACAGCCTGAGGGAAGGCAATGCTCCAGGCTTCGCCACTGGAGGAAGTGGAGGCAGCTTTTATATCTAACTGATCTTGTGGTAAAGCTGCGTACCAGAAAGAAATAGCCAGGCACTTTTTGAGAGTCAGAGATGAGGAGAAACATGGTTTGGCACGCATTCGGGCTAAACGCTAGTCCGTATTTATTCACCCACTGCGTAAGCAATTTGAGGTCACTCTGCAGTGCACATGACTCTGCTCCAGATGCTACACCTCTCCGTAACTTAGTCGGAGAGTCGAGACTCAATAGGAGGTCATTTACAAAATGAAGGAATAGCAGCAGACACAGAATCACTTCACGTAATGTGCCAGACTATGATGTCCTCCAAGTCACATAAACTCTGTTGACTTTTGTTCAGGACTGTCAATCATCCGAATAGCCCTGTAGCTGGGGATGCGCTTAAATGTTTAACCCCAACTATGATATTTCGCAGACGGGGATGTTGCATGAAACTGTGTCAGGGGCCTTGGCAACACCCAGGAAAATTTCATGAACGGGCTTTCGGAAGTCGCAGCATGCCGTCCAGTTAACATCTGTTGCTACGGCGTCTGAGGCCCGGGACCTGCCGTTTCGGGAACCACGCTGAGCGTCGCTCGATGCTTCTATCGTGTCCATATTCTCTGTGACATGCTGGTTTAACAGACTGTCCGTTGCTTTTGATAGAACTTGCAGAAGTGTCGTTGGTAAATAGCATTTCAGGCTCTGCCTGTCTCCCCCCTTGAAGATGAGAAAGAAGATAACACTTTTCCCTTCTCGTGAGAGCACATCTCTGTCTAGAAAGCGGACGCCACGCAACACTCGCACGCCGTTTTAACATGGAAAGCAGAGTGTCATCGCAACTCATCGTTTTCCCTATACGAAACTCTGGCAGCATTTCAAGGACCATAGCAGGGGTTACATTTATTCCACGCATCTCTCCTTCATTGAGTAGCTCCCATTAAGCTGGTAACTTTGGTTAGATTACGGCATGTCTGTTCCATGTCGGGTTTCGGGAATTTGCAGTCCAGAGAAGTTCTCTCCGTTCAAACCTCTCATAATGTGGGCTCCCTGGCTGGTGGATATTCCATTCGCCACTCGTAGACGCGGGTTTTCGAGCTAGCGTCGAGATTCTGGCGGAGGACTGCCTGTATCGACCTCCTCTCGCCTCTCGCTTAGATGCTGCATCGATCCCTTAGAGCCATAACTAAGCTATGACATCACCTTACCCCGGGGATCCTCTGGTTATGTTGTGCTTCCCTCTTGGCTCTCGAAAGGCTTTCGGCACCTCATTTTAGGCATGAGGTTTGCTTCCTTGACACTATTGGGCTACCGGGACGCTTTCAGAAACAGTCTTTTTGATGGTATCCCTTACTAGTTCCCGGTGTCAACCAGCTGACAATGTACTCCCCTGCTGAGACCATGGCGCTGTCGATAGATGCTGGCTCGTAACCACGTAATTTGTCTTGGCGTAGCAAAGACGAGGGCGAGAACCCCACCGTGACAGTTGTTAACCGAATACCAGACCGAACACCACCCTACCGTGAGTGGCGCCATCAAGAAAGGTTAGGACCTGAACATTTTACACCAGCAGACGACAGCCAGCAATGGATGGTCAGGTGTAGACGATTTTTCACTCGACCCCTGACAGATGGCATCGGCAACAATCTTATGGATTCAAGCCTTTTCGATGATGTTGAGTGGATTCCGATCATACCTCCGACTTGCACTGTCCCACTTAGATTGAGAGTCCGGCCGTTAAAACACCCCGCTATGTTGGCCCGTTCAAATACCGTAGACACCACCCAGGCGTAAGGTTGGTCACTTGTCGATTCTGTTCCAGAGGTTACAAAGACCTCATCTTCAAGTACTTGTTGTGCCCAGGCAGGGCTTAAAAGCCTTGAGAGTACGGTTTCCCCGCTTTCTTTACTTTCAGAAGACCACTGGTACACACTACCACTCTCTTTTCCTGCGTCTCCTATTTCCAAAGAAAAGAAATTTATCTTATGCACTGCCTCTGATGTCGCTAATATTCACTGATAAATCAGGTGTCAGTCAGCATTATTATCTTCAGAAGAAGGCAGGAAAACACACAGCGAAGCCCCTCACCTTCAACACACGTCCCACCAGTTTCCCGCAAAGACAGCGACGTGCCTCCAACAACATGGGACGACACAGTGGTGGCAAAGAAGAGGGATTTTCGAGCTGTAGTTTCTTACCCCTTAAAGATGAAAAGAAGCTGAAGACTATTCATACTAGACTACAAGCTCCCTAAATTCGTGGCTCCAATTGGAATTTCACGTAGAAGTGTTGTTAATAAATGCCATTTGGATCCGAACATGCCGGTTCTTCAACGCCCGACAACCACTCACCAAGGAACGGGGCTAGCCAAAGTTGGCCTCGTGTGATGTTGACTAGTGTAACGACGAAACCTTATGTATCATCCGCCATGTTGTGACGACAGTCGCTGGATAGAAGTGCGCCTTCGGCTCAAGTTCTTCAAACGACTCTGTGTACAACGCCATTGGCCTAATGGACCACTACACTCAACACGACGCCACACAATAGTGGTCTTAAACCTCCTTTCCATCCATACCAGTATTTAAACCTGGTTTTGTATGCCGTCCGTGTGTAACACAATTTATCAAACATTCACATATTTTCAGCTTCCTTCATGCACAGCACCTGCTATTCAGTGTACCCTTACTGATTACGTGACTCGCCATCGCTCATACTGAGTGGTTTTACCCATATTACCTTTCACTTCCATTGTGTAGCGAGATGGTTTCTACTTGATATTTATGGCCACTGATGTCCAAAAAATTGCCTACCCCAGGAGACCATATATGGCACGATGATTTATTCATTTTGAACTTCCTCAGCTTCACTGAGAAATATGATATTCGGGTAGTGCCTGCAAAAATGGCATGTATTCGCATAACTCATTTTTCGATGCTCCATTACTATCAATAGGGGGGATATCGGTGACCGCTGTCTGCAGGCTGAAAACTCTCCTACATCTGACGCCAGTGGTATAGCATGGATTGATGGCTATTAACTTCGGCTGCCAAGGGTTTCCAACCAGGCCACTGCAAACTTTGGGCGCAGTCATGGACAACCTCAGCGGGAACGTCCGCTGTTGAGAAAGCAGGCCCAGGACACTAGGACGACAGCAAATGACAGTCACGCTTAACGTTGGAGTCGCCACTACTGCTAACAGACACGACGTTCAAACCGTCCTTGGGCCCATAATATGCCCACGAACCACTGCGGGAAAAACATAACTAGGCCTGCTCCCCTAGAACTGGACATCCAGTAAGAACGTTTGCGACTGCATATGACCCTCTGTAATGCGCTTATGTGCATGTGGGATTGTTACAACCTAGCAACCCAGCACGTTCAGACACAGTCAACAATTTACCGAATGCTTCGTACTGTCACTATGATCGTCACTCTGACTAAATTTTCAGGTTCCATGTTACACACTCCACCTCCAGTTACCGTACCCTCAACAACAACAATACTATTTCCCCTCCTATAATCCATCCTGTAATATTATCTGCCCCTCGTCCCCCTTTTGACTCTATGATTTCACTCCATTCATTAAGGTCCTCGCGTGCACTTATCTTCCATCAGCCTACCTCGGTTTCTCCCTTTTTACCATTCCATTTCCTCTCACCTTGTTTTCTTGTTCACACTTCCTATCCCTTGATTTTGCTGAGCATCTTTTCTGTCATCTTTTTAAAAGCAGTCCGAACAACTGTCTGTTGTTGTGACGCTTGAGGAACCTATCTGCACCCCAGTCCTTAGAAAAGTCATACAATTCCTGCAAATTTCACCAGCACCCAACCACCCACCAGGCTTCCCAGAGCCACAGCAGGCAAACGGGTGGACCTCCTGTACTGTGCTCCACCAAAAGATAGGAACTATTCTGTGAGACCTAGAAGTGATCGTGAGGATATGAAATGGCTTACACTTGCAGGTAGAAAGATTATTAGATATTGGAGTTACTGTGAAAAACATAGTTTTCTCAAAAGTTCCAAAAATCGATAGGCCCACTTTATTTTCATATTGTTAGGCCATAGGAAGGGCAGTTTCCTTGCATAATTCAGTTAGTTGTTTTGTCGCACTAACACACATTATTCGTATCGAATAGCAACACTAATTTTACGAAAAGGTTTGGAAGCTACTGATTTTCATTTTCTCAATGTTGTAAAAATGACCGAGAATTCGGAAGAAGCACGTTCATCTCAGTTTTTCTGGAAAATTGTCAGTCACAAGAATACTTTGAACGATTGTGGTCACTCGAGAGATACAGCAAGGTAATTGAGGTAATCATTTACTATACCTTTATACTTTTCTCCATCCTACAATAAGAGACTGCCTACTCCAACCTTTAGCTGCAGTTCAACAGAAAAGCTTCCTCCACTTCCCCCAGTAGCGAAGCCTGAAGCACCGTCTTCCCTCTATGCTGTATGTTGAAATATTCTGTTTAAAATAACGATCTACAACAGATGGTAACAAGAAACGCATTACATCCTCCTCTTATGAATGCCTTTTCTTTGACGCAAGCATCCCCGTTCAAGGAACAGAAATACTGGCGTTCACCTAGTCAGTCTATCGGGAACAATTTCTCACCAAATGCTGCCAATTTATCAATCCTTACTCTGGCGAAGTGCGGCAGTTTATCTAAAAGTGTCCGCAAAAAGGAGAGGGAAAAAGATTACTCAGATCACATGTAAGGAATCATTCCACGCACATGGACTTTGTAAACGCCTATAAACGGGAATATACTCATGTGAATGGATGTTTACACAAAAAGTACAACGGGTTCTGCCATCGAATTGAGGAATAGTTCAAGAGTTTGTACTTTTATCATATTTTTCATTGGCGGCGTAGCCCTTCTTACACTTCAAAACAAATTTAAGTATCCCCTAGTCAGATAAGTCTGACTTGATTGTTTCCCAGTAAACTTGGTGGATGATTATGAAAATCTCATGAATTTGAGTCATTTTTAAAGTCACGAATTTCGCATTTTCGAAGAGCATTGAAGTAATGGCTTTCAGCAGCTTACCTGAAAGTATGCAAAGGGGTATATTAAATAGGAAGTTGTTCCAAACATAGACAAATAAACTTTGCTTGGTAATAGTGATATCCTGTTGTCTAGTGATATTTGAAATTATAGGTTAAATACCAGGCTTCTAACTGTTAGCAAGTCTAGGAGCATATGCCACTTAAAAAGAAGTGTTTGACAGGCTTCTGAAAACTTATGGAATAACTGGAGAGGTTTTTTAATTGGTTAAGTGCCTCTTGAAATAGGAGATATAACATCATATCCATTATCTCGATCAAGTTCACTCGCACTGAAGAATGTTACGAAAAACTTCTAGAGACTAATATAGATTAGTCATTTAAAAAAGTTCTCTCGCCCAACTTTGGTTTCATTTGATGGACAGCCAACGTATCTGTCAATTTAACGGAACTTTTGAGTTGCTCTCCCTGTCATTTATTGACCCGCAGTTTCAATGCTTCATGTTTTGCCAAATAATATAAATATGGTGCGTTTTATGAAGAAACGAAGGCATGAAATTCGTGTAAAAAAGTATGTAGGATCTCTCTGCAGTTGTTGATTTTGTCGCATAACATTTTACAGCACCACATCACTTCCTGTCTCTTTTACAGTATTTCTACTGTTCCAATTTTTTGTCATATACTGATGCATTTGTTAGTGATGAGGCTAAATCACTTAAGAAAAACTTAGGGTGTACATCATCAAAATCTATTCGTAAATTCAAAGCCTGATTAATTTTTATCGATCTTCGCATATTGATATCACTGGCTGCATTCTCGTTTTTCTGAAATAAACAGTATGGTTTTTATAAAAAGAAGAGCTCCACTTCATTGCTTACTAAAGCCACCGTGGCTCAAGGTGCAGTTCTTTCTCTGTTTCTATTGTATCTACTTTTATATAACTTTCCTTATTCTTCTTAAATTAATTTTAACGAATATTCTGCACCAGTTATCTCTCAGTAAGATTGCTGTCCATTGAATCATTTTATCCGAAACTGGCCAGTGGTCTTTCTCAAAAGGTCCTAAGCTGAACCTTTATACATATCACACTGTTAACTTCAGCCTAAGAAATAAAGAAGACTTGTGTCAGCTGCTTCAGTCTGATGTGTTGTTGTAGAAGGCAAGTCGTTTAGTGCCTAAATTGGATTAAATTTTGTCTTGATCCTTGTTGATCATTTCATATCTTGTTGACTTCCAAGAAAATCTTCTATTTAACGTATTACGTGGAAAAGCTGAAACTCTGTGGCATAACTTTGCCCCTAATTTTATGGTTTATTAATTCCTGTATCTAACCTTTTTTTATTGTTTACTGGCAATCTTACCTGGTCTACTGATAGAAGACTGTGTTATATTGAGTAGGGTTTTGAAAACTGTCTGTAGGGTAAATGCTGTACATCTGGTTCAGCTGGCTAGTACTGTAGTTGATGGACCTTTACATTTGGGTAGGCAACTAGCTACACTTATTTTGTCTGAGACTGAGGATCCACTTTATTCACATCTTTCTGCTTGTACTTCCTTTGGGAGGGCAGGAAGAAATTATATAAGACTGTAAACTTGTACAGCTAAATATAAGAATTCAACTGCATCTTATCCAGCACGTATCCTATGTGAGAAGAAAAGTGTTATAGCGAAACTCATCAAGTTTGTGACAACAATATTTTAACCATTAATGCATAATCTCTCCGTTAATAATTTTTTTTAAGTAATTTGGATTCTTATAATTAACATTGTTCAAAATGCTGTAAAATAGTACATTTTTTTGCAATATTTACATGCTGAGAATTCCAGGTTGTATCACAACTGTTTGGAATGAGGGTGATATTATTATCATTATTATTAAGCAGTGCCTACATTTTTATACATGTTTTCCCCTTCAAATGTCTTTACCTTGCTTTATGAGAAAATCAGTTAACATACTGTTCTTAAATTGCCCTCGAAATTCATAAAGGGTTGGTAATAATCTCTGATTGATACATATGATCAAATATGTAACGTTATCACCAGTAACCTATAAAAGCGTCTGGGTGAGTCTACGAGAGGTCTTAAAACAGTCAAAATAAGGGGTAGTACTTTTGTTAATGAATGGTAGTGGTTATTTACCACTGAAACAGGCAATAAACTGTAAGTTACATTTCAAAGTGCTTGAATTTTTTCCAGGGGATGGGTATGGAAGCTAATAACAAGCTTGTAAAGTGGAGCACTTTATATCCTACAAACAGTCAATCGGAAGATTTTCTTTTTTCTGTTCTGTACTCTTCTACTTCAAGTTTCCCTTGCGCGATCCGAAGTTTTTTTGACTTTGCGCATAGACTGCATGCATAATCGCCCTTGAGATCTGTAAATAAGATCCCTCATACTATGTTGGTAAAGAAATATTCAGTACCTTTTTTAGAGTTTTAAGGAAAGTAGTTTAAATCAAGTCCGGTTTCTACTCGAAATGTTTCACAATGTGAGGTGCTAACACTTATTCAACGGCAGTATTTTTGATACCAAGTTTTAGATGATCAAAACAAACTTTTACTCGTTATATATTAAATCCCTGTCTCCAAAATGTTCGGCGGTAGTCGTCACGTTATTTGACCTCAGTGAAGTCAGTTAGTGAAGATAAGTCAACATTCCCATCTCTAACTAGGATGCATAATTCTCAGAACTAATATTAGATGACCTAAAAATAAAGTTAATTTGAAAGATTCTTTAAACAAAATGGTTAGAGAACGTTCATAAGATAATCATTTTTTATTACTACTTGATCAGATGGCACAGCCACCTTTCATTTACACCAAGTGTATCCATCGTAAAAAATTGCTGAGAGTAGTAATTGACAGAAGTAACTGGATACCTATCAAGGTTTGTCTTGATCTTCTCTGGAGTATCAAGATATTTTTACTAAAGCTTAAAATATCTTGGCTGCGTATTTTAAATGACACATATAATATAGGGTGCCCATTGAAGAACTTTATCAATACACTTTTAGGTTAACTCTACTGACATATTATACTTCTTACCAGCTGCAAAGGCACTTTTGGACATACTATTACGTAGTAGTACCACAAATTGTTTGGAATAAAGTGAATTATTATTATTATTACTATTATTATTATTATTATTATTATTATTATTATTATTATTATTATTATTAGAACATAATCATAATTCCTGTAGTAAAATGTTAATTTACATTGCACGTTGAGAAAGACGGTGGCTCAGCATGCGCAATACATTAACAGGTCACCTTAGCTGGTCAAGTTTCAAAACTTTATTGACTAACCTGTAGGTGTTTTCAAGTACCCTTCACCTAACATTGACAATGCTCGCACATCGACTTGAACACACGCGAGAAATATTGCGAAAATAAAAGTGTTCGTAAACATTCAATTTCAAATGCGTAAAACAAGACACAATGAAATACAATTATATTAGTGCACGATTTAGGTTCGGTGGTAGATTGTATTCCTATTTTAGTCCATTTATTAGAAATGTCACTGTGAAACAAGATCACGTACTGGATAACGTTTCAGATATAATTTGTTTTCCTTATTCATGTCAAGTAACTCCACAATTTTGAGACATGGTTTATATGGTTCTAATCTCCTCCCTTTCTTTGTGATAAGGGTAATAGAATTTTCCATATATCTGCGACCGGTACATAGCCGTTTTTATAGCATGTATTTGGTGTTGATTCAATAAACAAAGATTCGTTTATCAATCTCCCCCTCCACTTAATTAAGTTTTTTAATGCTGTCGCTCTATCCCGTACTATTGTGTGATTGTATTTAACTGCGTGCTGAGCTGTAGCCGAGCTTTTCTCTAAATTTCTTATCTTATTAGGTGTATAGTTATTGGGATTTTCTGGCCTACAAGTAATTGTCTGTCTTATTACTTAGCAGCCAGTGGAGAATACTTGTAGCTCAGGTGGATGGTTATTTTGTGTTCTCTAAGCTGGCTTGTTTAGTCGTGAAGTTTTCATCGTCTTTCTAGACGATATCATCAGCACTAACTTCGGTATAAACTCAGTGCTGATGATGTCGTCTAGAAAGACGATGAAAGTTACACGATTAATACTTAGGGATTTAACTAGGGTGAGATGATTTAAAGTCTAAGAAGCGTTTCGAATGGGAAAATTTCCTATAGAAACTTCCATCTTGTTTTCGTTTAATCTTGTAATCCAACACTCCTAGCTCATTTTCATCACTTTCTAAGTCACAGGTGAATTGGGTTACATTTACTACTGAATCAATAGAACCTATTGGTGTGTTGCGGTTTTAGTAGTGTGTATAATCTACATATTGGAACCATACCTTTTTGGATAGGCTATCCATTCCCAACTATCCATAAATATGTCTGCGACAATAGGGGATAATGGTGACCCTACAGGGACCCCTTCAGTTTGTTTATGTTTTTTATTTTGAAACTTAAAACTGTAGACGTCGGGCACAATCGTACTCCTACCATGATTTCCTTGATCAGCACTTTAGTTCAATGCGTAAACTCAATGTTATCCTTAAGCCTATTTCTGTCTCCGGAGCCATGTCAATCGTATATTCATGTAAAAGTTAGTTGTGTCGAAGCTAACCATTTTTTCACTGCTATCGGCTCATGTATAATCTAATCCATGTTTTAAGTCATAGGAGTTAAAAAGTAGAGATTTTGAGTGATTTCTTATTGGGC